ACTGTAGAAAGGGAAGTTAATCGATCTCGAGAGGGTAGTGCAGCTAACGGCACCGCCTGGAGGTGGCAGCATCATCGTTCCCCCTCACGCTAGGGAGGTTTCAGCAGTTACGGTTCGCGATCACAATAAAGGATACAGCCCTAGGTGCTATGGCTGTGGGGAAAGGGGCCATCTTCGATCCAGTTGCCCTAAGCGAAACCTAGAAAGGGAAGGTGAACGGTCTCAGAAGGGAAGTGCGGCTAACATCACCGCCCAGCAGCAGCCGGGATACGACTTTACTATCAGACATCGCAGCGGGAAATCTCATGGCAACGCAGACGCATTGTCAAGAAGACCTTGTCCTGAAGATTGGAAACATTGTACTAGGCAAGAGAGTAAGGAAGTGGTATCCGTGAGGATGCTCAGGACAGACCACCTCAGCAACGAGTAGAAGGAAAGCTTACTACGTGCACAGCAGGAAGATCCGGACATCAAGCCGATTCTGGAATGGATAAAGGCAAGTGGTCCCAAGCCCAAGTGGAGCGACGTCTCAGCGATTAGTTGCTTGATGGAGTTCTGTGCCGTAAATGGGAAAATTTTTGGGGGAGACAGCTGTCATTTGTCCGTCCGGATGTTCTACAGCTGTACCATAATGATTGTTCAGGAGGACATCCGGGATTTAAACGAACTCTACTGAAGATCCGAGAACGGTTTTACTGGGTCCACTGTCAAAACGATGTCGAGGACTGGTGTCGCAAACGTACAAGTTGTGCGGCTGTAAAGGGACCTCAGACTCGTAGTAGAGGTGCATTGAAGTTGTACAATGTTGGTGCACCATGGGAGAGAATAGCCATTGACGTGGCGGGGCCGTTTCCGGAGAGTGAAAGCGGTAACAAGTATTTCATGGTTGTGATGGATTACTTCACTAAGTGGCCAGAAGTCTTCGCCATTCCAAATCAAGAAGCTTCAACAGTTGCAGATAAACTAGTTCATGAAGTCTTCTGTCGTTCTAGAGTACCTTTAGAGATTCACAGCAATCAAGGAAGGAATTTTGAGTCTCGAATATTCCAGGAAACTTGCCGAGTTATGGGTACTCATAAAACAAGAACGACTTCTTATCACCCGCAATCTGATGGAATGGTAGAACCATTTAATCAGACATCGGAGAGGTACCTAGCAATAGTTTTAGACAATTGGCAACGAGATTGGGACAAGCACATACATATCGAAGCGCTGTTCACGAAAATACAGCAGTAACACCAGCTTTCGCAAACTTTGGAAGAGAATTACGGCTGCCGGCAGACGTGATCACCGGGATACCACTTAATGCCCCACGCAGTATAACCGATTATGCAAATGACTTGCGGAACAAAATGAATGACATTTATGAGCACGTCAGACAATCGGGCCAGCACATGTTTAAAAAGATGAAAACCCGGTACGACCGCAAAATGAACAACAAAAGGTTCGACGAAGGGTTACTAGTGTGGTTGCACAATCCAGTCCGCAGCAAAGGGAAATCTCCTAAGCTTCAAGCTAAATGGGACGGCCCTTACCGGAATGTGACCAGGATCAACGATGTAACCTACCGGATACAGAAAGGCGCAAGAGGGACTCCTAAGATCGTCCATGTGGATCGCTTGGTGCGTTATTATGGGGCCGATAATGCTCGGGACGAGCATGTCTTAGGAGGGGGCAGTGTTGCGCGCCTAATTTGACGTCATGTACCCGGCACTCGAACTTTCGACGCCTTGTCGATCGGTGCGCGTATTTACTTGAATAATCTGGTTGTTTCGGTGCTAATGTGTATTTAAAGGCACTGCAAGATGCGATCGAGGAAGTATTGAATTCGGCGAGACAAGCGAAGCTTCGGAGCGAAATAAAGTGAATCAGTTTGGTTAATTATTAGTGTTCTAAGTTTTAATTAGTGTAAAGTGAATTAAAGTGTTAATTTTGGTAATTCAATCGGCAGTTTTTATTGTCACGAACCCTAAGCTCGTAACAATATATTTGCTTTGTCAGTCTTTCCTCATTCATTCTTTCTACACAACCAAACCACCGAAGCATTCCTTTCTTAATCCTGGTCATCGCATCATCTTGCAAACCACACTCTTCTTTTATCACACAGTTTCTCACCCTGTCACTCAGATTCAGCCCTAACTTACTCCTTAGCGACCGAATTTTCAAACAATTTTCCAATTATTTTATAAATGTTATCAATCTTTATTTTTATAATATTTTCGACTTGTATTTCTATTATTTATCACGTTTTGAATATTTTATCACAGTTTTAATAAATTTATTGATTTTGAAAGACAATACTAAGCCTTTAATTTTTTTAGTTTAGTTTAGTATACGACGGGCTGTTTTCCGCAACTCCACATCTAAGCGCGTATTTTGCGTGTGGGCAGGAATAATGTAGTTATTCGAGCCATGTTATTTTCCCGGAGAAGTTCAACAATTCTTTGATGTTGCAAGCAACTTCGGGGAGCGATCCCGGCGTATCGAGATGTTTAGCCCTTTATGAAGGGACTTCTGGACATGTCAGCAACACGTGAGCCGCCGTTTCTACCTCTCCCATGCATGCCCTGCACAGGGGGCTATCAGTGACACCTATGGTGAATAAATGTTTGTTAAAAGAGACATGTTCTGTGATAGCACTTGTTACTATCCTGAACTGTGGCTTGTTCAGTCTCATTAGAACCTTGATTAGACGACTGTTTATTTCAGGCAGGGCCTCCCTAGCTTGTCTACAGTCTAAAAAATATTTCCAAAGTTGAGCGTGTAAATTATTGAAGTATCTACGTACCAGTGAAAGAACGTAGCCAAAGGGGATTGGTATTAAAGGTCCCGGCCCTATACTTGCAGGAGCCCATCCCCTTCTGGCCAGTTCATCTGCTGCATCGTTGCCTCTAGATCCACGGTGTCCCATGATCCATTGCAGAATCACATTGTTGTGCTTACATACCTCATTCAGTCGTTGATGGCACTCGTATATCAGTCGCGAGTTCGTCACATTGCAACTCAGAGCTTGTAGAACCGCCATACTGTCGGTCAGTATTTTGATATGCCTGGAAGACTGTGATGTGGGTACTCAGCGGTGTGCATATGTGGATATTAAGGTCTTCAGAGAAAGCCCCAGATACCATACCTTCATTTGTCTTAGAACCATCCGTGAAAACTTTGAGCTCTCTTGGACCCAATCCTTCCAGATGGTCGGTTTCTTTCAATTGTATCCTGTACTTCTTATCGAATACAAATTATTTTGGGATCCTATCATACTTGCCTCGTAAGATAGGAATTTTTGAGTAAATTCTATCAATTATATCTATATGGGGGGCTCTACTCTTACGTAAAAGATTTAGGGTCTTGAGTCTAATGGCAGCTAAAGTTGCTTCTTGTTGTATATATAGATGAAGCGGTGTTAGCTCCAGCATAGCCTCCAAAGCTGCTGTTGGTGTAGTCTTTATGCGGCCCGTGGTTTTAATAATTTTATTGATTTTAAAAGACAATATTAAGCCTTTAAATTATTAATAATACTTAATGTCTGAAATGTATTTATTTTATGTTTATCAATATATATTTATTATTTCGGAATGGGGTGTCAACCTAAACGATCCGATATCGTCGTAGTGAACGAGTTCCTGGCCTTTGTTCAACAAAAATTGGACGTCATGGACCAGGTGTCCCTGGAGCAGATACTGATGACCAGCTTCACCGAGGACGAGATCATCCAAGCGAAGAAGGTGTTAGCAGATTTAGCCGTGACCCAAATCCCTCTTATCACACGTCATGGAGATGGACGCGGTAAGAAAGACCTGCAAGACATCTTCAGACTGTTCAATGAGACCGATCCTGATGACATCCCAACTTTCGTCGCGCGTGATCTCAACAAGCTGCCTCCCGTGACGTTCGATCACGTAGACGTGACCAGATTGTTGAAAGACATCACCACGTTGAAAGCCGAAGTCACCGACCTCCGTTTCAAATTTGAAGCATCGGAACGAGCCGCAACAGAGCTGAATAACGAAGTCACTATGTTGCGCAACATAATTGCAACATCTGCGAATTCACCGCCGTCGCAGAATGTAAATACGACACGCAGTAATCCTAATAATAGTCATATTTCACCGATGATTGCGACTCCGTCACGCGATATCGTCTGTCAGCAGGTTGAAAACAAAGCGGGGTGAAACTAGGGCGACCTTGGTCGTCATTGCATCATCACCTCAGCCCTTGACTGAACCCTTGAGTACTCCTCCGCCGAAGCCAACCTGTCAACAAGGAAAGACGTTTGCGGATTTTGCTCGAAAATCTTCGCAACTGTTACCCTCATGTGGTCGAAAACAAAAGAATGTGGATGTAAAATCAGTTCCTGTGGTTACCCAAACCAAGAGAGAGAATGACGGGTTTACTCTTGTTGAGAAGAGACGTCGGTCGAGACCCGTCTGTAACCAGCGTGGGACCGTCAAAATAAACGCAAGCACAACTCTGCGTACTGTGGAGATACAGCTCTACATCTCCCGTTTGGATAAAAGTACGTCGGGCGACGACGTCCTGCGTTTCGTGGAAGAACGAAGCCGATGCCGCATAGACGATCCAATCTCTTTACATTTGCAGCGTCTGGAGTCTAAGAGGTCCACGAACTTCAAATCCTACGTACTCCAGGTTCCTGCAAAATACAAAGAGACATTCCTTGCTCCCATTTTCTGGCCCTTTGGGGTAGTGTTTCGCCGATACAGGGACGCGCCAAAGAAGAAAGTTCCCTAAATAGTGTTATATTTATATTTTATATATATTTTTATTCTCTATCTGTTCCTGATATTCATCATAATCCATTCTGATAATCCGATGGTTAACCCGGACAAACTGGCTATAATTTTATAAACGGTAACGCATATTTATTATGGCATGCAAGTAGCCTTCTGAGCTTGATAAAGGCACTTATTTTGATATTACAGACAGATATTTCAATTTTATTTATATGTGTAAAGATTATCATTATTAAAGTAAGTACTCACCTAAAGGTATCCAAAATCATAGTGAAGAGCACGAACTTGCCAAGCAGCGGAACTACAAGTGACGTCGGTGGGATTATTTCGGCGAGTAGAAGGAAAAACACAGTAAGTGAGAGAAGAATGGAGATGGAGAGCGACACCTTTTTCGCCACTGTCCGATGGAAGATAAAAAACGAGAACTGTGAGGAACGAGATTCCCATACAGGGAATGATGAGGTTCACTGTATAGAACAACGTCTTGCGCCGCATAGTGATGTTGAACGTTATGTCCAGGTATGGCTCGTCGCAGCATGTATAGAACTTCTCGTTCCTGTGTGAAAAAAAAATAGATTACTATATGTACAACTCAACTACTGAAAATAATTAATAATAGACTTTAGTCAACACGCATAATTTTATTAAAACAAGGTTATCGCGTCGAATTTCATCTGAATTAGAAGATTGATGAAATGTTTTTGCATTATAAATAACCGCATTTGTGCTATATGCAGAGCAATAATACGAAACGATTGAATATAATTGGTGTTATAACCTGACGGCAGGCACTTCGAGGATATCCCACTCTACAGAAGTGTAGAATTCTGAGAGATCAACACCAAGTTCCACCACATTTGTCCCACGGACTTCATCAATGTGCCGGAGATCTACCTGATAACAAAAACAACACAAATATAGAATTATCAATGTAAAATTTCAATCTTTCACCCGATTTCATGACTTAAGTGTCATAAGCAGTGACCACGAGATAAGTTAAAATGATCGTGTGGCTTCCGATAGATGGCGATGTCCATTTAAGCCTGGTGTAAACCATCTCATTTACGTCGAGCGTAAAATACAAAGAGCGGCGACTGGTAGTAGCCTCAAAAGGTATGAAACATCGCACACTGCGATGACCGATCCACCAACCACGCGTTACGATTGTAACGAATTCTGCTTAAAATGAATGAGGTCCATAATCAGCATTAAACTTCTTCGAGCTAAAAAAATAGAAGAAGAAGGGAGGGTAATATTTTTCGAGTGTATGTGTATGAACGTATTCATATATTCATTTCTTTGGCACGCTCTGTGGCCTAAAAGAAGCTTTATAAATTCTTAAATATGAGATGTAGTTCGATTTATTTCAACTATAGAAGTGACAAATGGTATACAAATTTTCTCTTTTCAGTTAAGTTTTTGCGCAATCGGATTTTTTGAAATACTGTTATAATCGTTTGGCTTGTTGAGCAACTTGTCACTATAGTTTGTATTATTTGGAAATATTATTATTATTAAATATAATATTCATACAATAAAAATACATATTCAATATAAAGAAGCCTTCAATTACCTGAAATCCATCATATGTCCACGAACCAAATTTCATGACACATGTCTGCTGGTCAAATGGAAAATATTCCACATCGATTTCACATGAAGATTTGTAAATGGCGGGCGGACGCCACTCCACGCGGCCCGTGTAGTTCAGCGTCGCCTTTGTAGCCAGCGTCACCTCAAAGTTGCCGTCAGCACTGGTCACAATTCATAACAAACAGTTTACTTAATTTATTGTTTACTTTACACTTATTTTTTAAGAGGCTATGTTTCAATAAAACCACTTTTACGGGTTTTATCGCATTTAATTTGTTTAATTTTAATAGCCGACATTACGAGTGCTTTCCAGCACCCATGGTTCCATCTACCCATCCATCCCTCAAGTCCGATCTACGCAGAGTTGACTTACTGTGTATTGAAGTTTTGCAGTGGTATGCTTAGGTTTAGTCTTAATTTTTTTAATTACAGTATCTCAAACCACTGGTGCTACCCAGCCTCATTCTCTATTGAAATTGGGATGTTTTTAATTTCAAAAAAACATTCAAGGAAGAGCTAAGATATTAAATCAGGCAAGTAATAAGTTATTAATAACGGTGATTCAGCAAAAACGCGCCGATTTATGTTACATTAATTTAATCGTGGGTAATTTTTCCAGTGAATTAAAAGTTTTATTGACATTTGATTATAAGAATTGCATGGAAACGTTAGTTAAACGCGAAACAATTAAATACAATAAATTCAGAAATAAACATATTAATAAAAACCAAAACTTACAACTAAATCAAATGTCCAATACCAATGTCAACGTACGAATGGAACAAAACCGTTGACCACAGACTCGAATAATAAACAACGTGTAGTCTATAACCTATCAAAACAAACTCTCGACCACGCGACAGTAAAAGTATTATCGAAAGACATGCATTTTGCCATAACACCACGAAGAATCCCGTACAAAGTAGTGTTGAGGATATTCTGTAGAAAATAATATTAGTAATGAAAATTAAGAGGTCGTGCGTCAAGACATTTCGCCTTTTTACGTCGAAATGGAGTGGTGAAACTAAATCTAACGAAACAGACCAGAGCTCATAATTCTCCGCGCAGATAAAGGTAATGCTACGATGGTATATGACAATGGATACGTCGTATTACAATTTTAAAATGCTTTGTCGGGTGAGAGTACATAGAGAAAGGTCAAAACAGAGGGTCCATTTGGATCTTTCTGTATTATGTACAACTAATACTCTTAAAACAACTAGCGATTTTATTAAGAAATTTCCCGAGAAATTTAATCTAGACGTTAATTCGACAATACCTGCGTGTTCCAACCACCGAATTTGTATGGGTTACCCAAAATGCACAAACCTAACGCTCCAATATGTCCAATAGTGATACATATCGATTCATTAACTTAAAGATTGGCTCAACACTTAGCAAAAATACTACCACCACTCAGAGGACAAACAAGAGCAAACACTAAAGGTTCATACCATTTTTTCAGTGAGATAAAATACATACACCTTATTGACAAAATTATAAGAGACTAAATATCAAAAAATCAAGGTCATTTTTATGTTCAGACTCTATTTACATGCCTACCTGTATAAAACTGCATCTCAATTGTTACTAGGAAACTAGAGAAAAATAACATGCCAGCATAATATGCAGTATTTCTCGCTCACTGCCTTACATCTAGCCATCTATTGTGGAAGGAAGAGTTTTGCAAGCAAGTGGATGGTGTAGCGATCTGTATCTCCTACATTTGTCGCCATATTCATAAAGGACTTCGATACTTTCACAATTTCACCTGAAAAAAACTGCAAAAGTAACTACATTTTTAAAACAGCTTAATTCAATAAACTCTAAAATTCAATTTACTATGCAGTTAGAGGCAAATAATTCCTTAGCCTTCCTAGATGTGTTAGTCATCCGAAATCCTAACAACACCATAGGTCTCGCTCTGTATAGAAAAAAGACCCATACACACCGATATTTGAATGATGAAACTCACCATCATGCTACCTTAGGCAAGTCTTTCTTACACAGAGCATGAGGGATCTGGGATAGTAAACATTTGGCCGCTGAGGTTGAGCACGTCAAGTAGGTTCTGCATGACAACAAGCTACACACAGGGGTCACATTGACCGAGTGTAGTCGGCCACATTCAAACGAGTGCTTGCTGTACTGCCACTGACAAGATTAGTTACATCTTGAAGAAAACTTCTATTAAAACATTCTACAAGCCACCGAAGAAGATTAGTCAGTAGGGTTAGGTTTTTAACAGTGGTAGAGCCACGCGGAAGCTTTGCTGTTGCACGTATGGGCCAGCTCATACGTGCAACAGCACAGCTGCCGACCACGACTTCACAGAATACCAGCGTGAAGTAGAAGCTCAGATTTTGCGTTTGGTCTGGTAAGTGCAGGTGGCCGGAGGCCCAAATCACCCCTCCCCATCAACATGGTAGCGGAATCAAGTAAAGATCTACTCTAAGAGGGTACCAGCACCGCTGGAGAATCCCTCGCTGAGCATCCACGACCAAGTTACTCCACTCCTAAGCGTGGGCTGCCCCGCGTATTCTGGGGGGGGGGTGGCAACATTTTGCTCAAGACAACAACTGCTCAGGGCAATGTCGGGGTGATATCTCGTATCTCTCCTACCCGGGGTACAAAGTGGAACACTCCTTTGTGCCTCGGGCTGGAGTTTGCGTATACATCAGAGAGGACATCTGTGTCGACGCCTCAGCAGTCTTGAAGGTTCGGACCTGTCCATCTTTTGGCTACGCGTAGACAGCGACGACCATCCGCGCGTCTATGGGTGCCTCTATATGTCCTATAGCGGTAATGCCGAAACTGACCGACTCTTCGACCCAGATTCGACAGCAGATCCCCTCCGCAGAAATTGTGATGATTGATAGATGATTTTAACTCCCACCACGCCAAATTGCTTGGTTCACGTTCAACCGATCATGCGGGTAGATCTATTCATGATTTTGCCTTGGCATATGGTCAGACGCAACTGGTTACGCGGATTCCAGATGTGCAGGATCATGCACCATCCCTGTTGGACCTTCAGCTGACCTCTCATCCGGACGGATATCAGATTTCCGTCGACGCCCCTTTATGCTTCCCGGACCATTGTCTTGTTCGAATTGATGTGCCACTCACGCTGAAATCGCGGTTCCATTCTGTAGTTTGCTGTGTTTGGCACTATAGGTTTGCCGATTGGGATAGGATGCGGTCTTTCTTTGCATCCTACCCTAGGGGGGGGGGTTGCTTCTCGCTGGACGATCCCATTGTTGTTGCTGATTCTGTCGCCGATGTGGTACTTCAGGGTATGGAACTTTCTAATAAACTATTCCTTCCTCTGTGGTGCCCATCGGAGGCAAATCTCAGCCATGGTTTGTTCGCTTCTGTAAAATAGCATCATGCTATAAGCAGGAGTGCTACCAAGCCTGGGCTGACGCATCAACGTCCTGGGATGTAAACACCAGCGCTCTAAAAAAGAAGTATAATTCCGCCTTCAGGTCCTTCAAAAGAGTCATTTCCAAGGCTAGGTCAAAGCATATAGGCAGAATTGGCGAGCAACTAGTTCGCCTTCCATCTGGAACCCGTGCATTCCAGTCACTCGCCAAGGCTGTCCAGGGGTTTTTTTTCGCTCAGCCATCTCTTCGATCTCTGCGCAAGGAGGACTACTTACTGGCCCATGCAGCAAAGGAGAAAGCTGATTAGCTAGGCTCTTTCTTTGCGTCCAACTCGAATCTCGATGACGGGGGGAGTACGTCACCGACCATCTCGCGGTGTGAGTGCTCCATTACGGAGGCGCGATTTACACAGAGCTCGGTTCGCAAAACACTCCTCTCCCTGGACATTTACAAGTCGAGTGGGCCTTACGGTATCTCCCCAATTGTGCTGAGGACGTGTGCTCCAGAATTGGCACCGGTTTAATCGCCTATTTTTCGGTACTCCTACTCTCTAGGTATACTCCCAAAATCATGAAAGACGGCTTTCGTGCACCCGATCTCAAAAAAGGCAACCGCTCAGACTATCAGCTCAGACAGTCCAAGGGGGAGGCATTGGTCGTTAGTTTGGACATTGAGAAGGCCTTTGATCGGGTTTGGCACATAGCGCTTCTTTCGAAGCTCCCTTTCTATGGGCTTCCCGAGAAATTGTGCAATTGGATCACCAGCTTTCTTGCAGACTGGAGCATCAAGGTCGTTATAGACGGTAAAATCTCCAATTACAAGCTTATTATTGCTGGTGTTTCACAAGGCTGTGTGCTATTAACAAAGCTTTTTCTTCTGCATATCAATGATATGTTGCAAACCTACAACATTCATTGCTGTGGAGATGACAGCACTGGTGATGCTTGTACACCGGCCATACCAAAATTTCTCGGTAAATCATCTTCCATTACCGGGACAAACTTTTGTCTGAAGTCGAGTCTTTGTCGAACCCCTTTGTCGTATCCCCTCAGTTTCATTTCTTGTTGCCTCAGCCAGTATCGTAATTCTCGACATATCGAGTGACGTGCAGTTTTGTGGTCACTTGGAAGAGAAGCAAAGAAGCAGAGCGGGACATTATTTCATGCCGGCACACCACCTGCGCAGGTTCGGCCGCACGTGGAATACTGTTCCCATCTTTGGGCTGGGGCTCTCCAGTACCAGCTCCATCCACTTGAACGCATCCAGCACAGAGCGGCTTGAATCGTCGACGACCGAGTGATTTCCGATCGGCTCGATTCACTGGAACTGCGAAAAGATGTTGCATCTCCTTGAGTATTTTATTGCATTTACCACAGGGAGTACTCTGGGGAATTATTCGTATTAATCCCAGCCGCCAAATTTCTTGAACTCACTACGCGGCAAAACTCCCGATACCATCCATACCATCTGGATACTTGGCTGTCCAACAATTTACGTTTTATTAGGAGTTTTCCTCCGCGTCGACCTGTCTGTGTAATAATTTACCACCAGTGATTTTACAAGACCGATACGACCCCCGGGTCGTATCGGTCTTGTTAAATCACTCTTTTCTTGAAAGAAAAAAGAAAGAAAAGAGCTTCTTCCTTTCTAAAAGGCTAGCAACGCACCTGCGATTCCCCTGGTTTGTCCGTTTGTCCATGGGCTGCAGTAGTCACTTAACATCACGTGAACCGAATTCTCGTTTGCCCCCTATTCATTAAAAAAAGTCAGTAATTACGATCTGTGAATTGTAGTATAACTCTACAGAATATAAAAGCTTGATTGTGAATGCTGTCTCTCAAATATAGGGCAAACAAAAATATCGACAAAAACCCGCGTAAGAAAACATATAGCTGACGTGAAACACCAACGCTGCAGGAAATCTGCAGATTGTGATCATATCCTAGACGCCCCCGCCATTACATCAGATTTGACAGACCACAAATCCTCGCGATTGAACATCGATTCCTGCCAAGGATGATACGTTAGGCTATTGAAATTAAAAAATATCCCAATTTCAATAGAGAAGGAGGCTGGATGCTATCACCTGATTGTGATCCTATAATTAATAAATTTAAAACTAAGCCCAAGCATACCACTACACAAATCAAGACACAGTAATTTCTTTCTGCGTAGATTAGACCCCATGTAACAATTAAAAAGCTGGAGGTACTCCGGGTTAACACTGACATCACCTCAGTCCCCTGTGGCCATGGGTGTTGAAAAGCACCTAAAACGTCGAGTATTCCGTAAATGAAATCCGTAAAAGTAGGTTCAGTAATTTGCAGTGTTCGTAACTATAAGAAATCATTAAGTTGTTCGTAAATATGAGAAATCATGTTTGATCGATTACTAGATGCTGAGTTTAACCACATAATATGTAATTAATATACTTAATTAAATATATATACAACTGCCGTATCTGTATCGCTGGAGCATCTATTACGAAATTAATGTAATTTTTATGATGAAGTAATTTAACATGAAAGTTAAATTCCTTGCAATTAAATTTTAATACTTTACTACTCAGCCCCCGATTGAGCTAAACAGCAAATATTTTATTGTTTATTTCTGTAATTCCAGCTTTATACATTAGTAACGTTAAGAAGTAAGCAATCTCACTTGTTATATAATACTATGTCAGGCCTCCAGATATGGTCGGATGGCACGTGTAGCATCTCAACACCTCCGTACTCTCGAGGCTCCCAAGACAACTTATAGTCGTACCAGCTCTATAAATAATGAATGTCATTAGTGGGTTATCCTCCAGCAATATATTTAGGGTAATAAAAATATACCAACCTGCTCCACCCATAAATTTGTTGTCATAATCTGATTCTTCAGATTCTGTAAATCGTTAAACATAGTTTTAGTGACATAATTTAAAATGCATTTAAACGTCATGTTTGTCTAAACTCACGACATCTATGAGCTGGCTAAGTTTTAGCTTGATGCGCACGGTTAGTGCGTCGCTGACATTGAGCACGGGCCGCACTAGCTTGTTGTAGTTGCTCAGCAAGTCATCGTACAGCCGCTTCGCGTCCGGGTTACCGGCACAACCTGCAAATAAATTTCTTTACTGACTTTTTTATCTCGAATAAGTTACAAAAATTTTGTGTTTGATCCGCCGATTGATAATAATCTTGTGCGTCTTGGAATTAATTTAACTGTTCAAACCTCGTTGAAGCTGTATTATGGTTGTACTCTCACAGAATACCAGCGTAAAATAGCAATATAATAATAATATAATAATAATAATAATAATATAATAATAATAATATTGCTGTGATTTGTAAAGTAAGTGAAGATAACGGGAGAGCTACTGCAGTAGAAATTAGGCGTTCTTAGTCCTCTGAAGTGACAACGCTATTGCATTTTTATTTATATTTAAAGATAGATGAAGACGATATCTATGAGCCATTATCCACTTACTATCAAGTGAAGTCACTTCTTTTCTATAAAAAAATGTTTAAGTTAATTTCATAACTTTTAATTAAATTTAGACTTAACTTGACCTCTTATGAATGTCGAAATCTACATTGGTTTGCAAAAACAAGAACTTTCCAGGAAAGAGCCTTTGGTGGAACAGGAAGAGGAGATTTAAATTTTATTTTTTTAAGTGCCATACTAATTCTACATTCATATACAACTGTTATAATCAATACAATATATATATAAATGTGTTTATCAGAGCCTGAGGACTAGCAAGTGAAAGTTATATGCGTACACATTTTTCCCATTTTTTAATATATTGATTGACCTATTTTTAATTTTTTTAACAAAATTGCCTTAACGAGTTTCTAAATTTTACGTCTGATTGTTGCATTTTCGTAGAATAAACTGTAAATTTGTATACAAAAGTAATGTCTATTTTCGTCAGATTTATTTTAACGAACTTCTAGCATATCACGCCAACGCATAGGAGCCAATCCGTTTCTTAGTAAATAAATTATTATTTACTAAGAAACGGATTTATTTTACACATGTGTAACATGAGGGCCGCTACACACGTAGCTATAATATCTAACCGTTACACTTTAAAGACCATCAAAGTCTACTTCTGAACATAGGCCATAGATTGCTTCATAGGGAATACTCCCTTTTTCAAATTTTCTGCACTTGGCAGGTGGGTTAGCAAATAGTGTGGATGAATATTTCTGTGTATCGAAGTATTTGACTTCTAATAAGCTCAGAAGACATTAATAACAATTTAAAAATTTCTGTTTGTCCGAGCTAATCTTCGGAATGTGATAAAACTTTACGAAAAAAACAGAGAGCAGAATAGTTACATCATAAATATTAAGACCAAAAAAAGTTTCCAATAAAACTTTTATAGTGTGCCATACAAAAAAGCTAATAACATTACATCTTCTATTTCTATAAAATTTGATGCAAAATCGTTTAAGCGCATCAGGATTGCTTTACTGATAAAATATGACGATATTTTTCACACTGTGCACGAGTATTATCAACAAAAATTTTATTAACCGATGTTGTATGGGAATTGAATGGATAAGAATGGAATAGAATGGATTATTAGACTGCTAAATAGTTAATTAAATTGTAAATAATAGAACAGAATAAAAGAGAATAAATATCGTACACACGTAAATGATATATAGTTCACTGCCGAAATAAGGTAAGAAGTGTAAGTACCAGCGAACAGCAGCGCCAGCAGCAGCACGGTGGCCGCGGGGGCGGGCGGGTCGCGGTGGCGCATCCCGCGCGCATGGCGTCAGCGCATCGCCCCCGCGCCGCTCCTGCCGCTCCCCTCCCCGCCGCGCCTTCCCCTACCTACAATGTCCCCCCTGCTGCTCTCAACTGTTGCCTTATAACTTTGCTACTCTATTCTCACGTAACACCACCTGTAGTAACAAATCATTTATAAGTAAAAATAACAACTTAGTAGTGCAGTGGCTAAGAGTTTCATTTTGCCGGTGACACGTGTTTGCACGGAACAAGTGTTTGTATGGTCAACAAATAATTTTTAGCCGCGGTCAAAAAATAGGGGTTACAATTAATTATGTTACGCGGTGTCCACAAACACTCACGCCTGTCACCCAAAAGGACTACGGCTTTCATTTGGCACGATCCGAACACACCTCTCTCACCTCCTTTACATCGACAGACCTACGCATACACGCTCGTTATTTAAGGGTACTTCTAATCTGGCCCATTTTAAATACTTCGCCAATTTTAACTTCGTCTAGGCATTCGTTCCCGAATCTACCATTCAGATCTGAGATATAAATTTACTTTTTCACTCTTTCCTTGTTAATTATTTCTACATGACCAAACCACCGAAATATTCCTTTCCTGATGCTGGTTACCATATCATCTTGCAAACCATATTTTTCTCTTATCGCATAATTTCTCACCCAGTCATTCAGATTCAGCTCTAACATATCTTTGATGACTGCATTTCTAAAATTATCTTAGAAGTAATATTTTTAAAAATTAATAATTTAATAATAATGTTGCGCACCATAATTTATACCTGGTACATGGCAGGTTACCACTAGCGCCATTTAGTATCGAGTAGAAGAACTAGAAGAGCTTTTTAGAAAATTACATTCTAGAACTTTCAAGTTTCATTCTAGTTAGTCGGGACCGGTATGTACTCGAACATTCTAGATGTTTCAATAGAATAGGCCCTTTAATGGACTATTTTAAATAAGTTTTTAATTCCCGACGTTTCGGGTGCTTTACAGCACCCATGGTCACGCGGGATACTGACATGTTTGACGTCCCAATGTCATAGTTAGTCCGGCTACCTTCAGTTTTTGAATATTAATCTTTGGTCTGATTTACGCAAAACGAGCTTATAGTATCATGAAGTCTCGCAGTGGTATGCTTGGGTTTGGTATTAGTTTTGTTAATTATAGGGTCCCAAGCAGATGGCAGTACCCATCCATCTTCTCTATTGAAATTTGGATGTTTTTTGATTTCAATATCCTCGCGTATCGTCCTTCGTAGGAATCGGCGTTCTTTTGCGAAGATTTGTGGTTTATCAAATCTAATGTAATGGTGGGGACGATCTGAAACATTTTCGCAGACTGCACTTCCTGGAACGTCGGTGCTTCACGTCAGCTAAATGGGTTTTTATAGATCTTTTTGTTTGATCTGTTCCACATTTACAATCTAGCTTGTACACACCTGCATGGAGGACTATGAGGACAAAGCCCTTCTTACTACTCCTGTAAATCCAAGGTTCTACAAGCGGTACGTAGACGACACTTTCACAATTTTACCATCTGACAAAGTAACTGCATTTTTAGACCACCTTAACTCCATAAACTCTAAAATACAATTCACAATGGAGTTAGAGGCAAATAATTCTTTAGCCTCCCTAGATGTTTTAGTCATCCGAAATCCTGTTGACACTATTGGCCAAACTGTGTATAGAAAAAGACCCACACCAACCGATATCTAAGTGGTGAATCTCACCATCATTCCTCACAGTCAGCTACCGTGAGTAAATCTTTTTTCAGAGAGCACGAGAGATCTGTGACATAAAACATCTGGCCGCCGAGCTTCAACACGTGAAGCAAGTATTGCAAGACAACACGCTTCGGGTCCCGCGCCTACGTCACAGTGAACGAGTGACGCCGGCCACAGTCGAGCACGCGCCCGCTGTACTACCGTATGTCAGAGAAGTTACAGACAAGATCGGCTACATCTTGAAGCGAGCTTCTATTAAAACATACTACAAGCCGTCGAAGAAGATTAGTCAATTTTTACCATCCATCAAATGTAATATTCCTTTACAAGATGCAGGTGTGTACAAGCTAGATTGTGAATGTGGTCTTTCATACATAGGTCAAACAAAAAGATGTATAAAAACCCGCGTGAAGGAACATATAGCTGACGTGAAGCACCGCCGCTCCGGGAAGTCTGCAGTCTGTGAAAATGTTCAAGATCGTTTCCACCATAACATTAGATTTGATAAAACACAAACCCTCGCAAAAGAACACCGATTCCTACCAAGGATGATACACGAGGCTATTGAAATCAAAAAAACATCCAAATTTCAATAGAGAAGATGGATGGGTGCTTCCATCTGCTTGGGATCCTATAACTAACAAAATTAAACCCAAACCCAAGTATACCGCTGCAGGACTTCATGATACTATAAGCTTGTTTGCGTAAATCGGACCAAAAATTAATATTCAAAAACTGAAAGTAGCCGGACCAACTATGACATTGGGATGTCAAACATCTCGGTCCCCGTGACCATGGGTGCTTTAAAGCACCCGAAACGTCGGGAATTAAAAACTAAGTTATAATAGTTGATTAAACGAGATAAAATCCGTAAATATAGTTTTATTAAATATGGACTTATTACATTGTACTAATGTTTAAGTACATTATGTTGATACATTATATAAAAAAATTACCACTTGATTTTACAGGATCTATACTCAAGTAGAGATTTTCGTGTTTTATAAATTAATGTTTGAGTGCTTTTGTTTGCAGATATTACATTATAATATGTCAAATCAGCCTTTCCAGATCTTTTTGTGGAATACATGTCATTGAAGCTCTTATTATAATTAGTCAAATTTACACTTAGTTTCGAAATATACTACAACCATAATAATTCTGTTAGTATAAAGCGACATTTAAACTTAGAAAATATTTTTTTTTATAGTTTAAAATTACGAAAATTCATTGTAACAAATAAAGCATTTTCATATGTGTGATAAGTGCACATAAGTACTCACAAATAATTATATTGGCATTTGGGATAGATTGAGGCTCACAAATAATTATATTGGCATTTGGGATAGATTGAATCCATGATTCAAGTCCATCTCTCACCTAAATAATGTTGTCATCTTCTGTGAAGCCATGTACAGTCACAAAATCATTCATTGTTAGTTTAGGTATTTCATTGATACAGGAATTTTAAAGATCGGGAAGTTTGCCTCAAGACTTCCAGAAGCAAAACACATCATATTTGGAACCTATTAGTAGTTCTAAAGTTTCTGAACGTCACGACTCTGCTGATCTGCAAGAACAATAAATTTGTATCTTTATATTTCCGTGAATTATGAAATTACAGTTTCGACTTTCCGGTTATATTTGGTAGTATGTGAAATTTGAGACGGGAATGTATTATGCAGACGCTAATTTAGTACTGTGTGATCTGTTATTGACGAAGAGATCGCAGTCGCGACTATCCGTTTATTTTTTGGCATTTCAGTGATTGTAACCAGGTTTGGGAGTGTATTAGGAAGGTGTTCATTTGGTACTGCGTCATCTGTCAGCGATGTGATGTCGTTAACGAATGTTGCAGTGTTTACTCAAAACCATTGCGTTGTCATGATGGACATTGTTCGCTTCCTGAATACTTTGTAATTACTCAATAATTTTTTATTTTTTATTTTTAAAATCGAAAGTCTGAGCATTAGGATATTTATTTTTCTTTGTCACCTTTTTATTCCTCGTTTGTACTTTTAAATGAGATAGATTTTTTATTAAAGCTGGTTAAAGAATTGTCGCAAGATGTTTTAGTTGATTCATTAACCGATGTGAAAGTGGTATTTTTAGTCGATTCTAGATATTGGGCTGACATTACTTTATACTTAATGGTTTTTCAGTTGTTGCAAGGTTTTTGTATAGAGCTATTTACGAATTTCGAATACTTATCAATGACAATGTCTCGTCTGCATCGGTACTGTTTTCTCAAACCACTTAAAAGTCCACATGGATAATACTTTCACTTGTATTTAACTAGTTGCTAAATTAGTTCATACATATTTTAATTAAATTTTATTTTAGCGACGGAAATGTATAGAATATATGGATATTATTATTTTGCCTGAAAACTTAACTTTAACTCATTTATATATATATATATATATATATATATATATATATATAAAATATATATATATATATATATAAAGCTCCACTCGATAGTATAACTACTAACGCTATTAGTGATTAAAATTAGGGAAAAAATACTAACGCAGACATAAGAAAGCAGTTAAATAATTTTAGTGAATTAATGCCGTTTAATATCACGACTTCTTTACTCATCTCCCTACATCTTTCCACTCCTTTCGTAATTTCTGGTACATTTTATTCAGATGACTCTTCACTCATAAACATGCTTTCAAAGTATTCTTTCCATGTCTTTAAACTCGAAACTTCGTCACTTAGCATACAGCCATTTTCGTCTTGTGTAGCATTCATTCTATGCTGTTTTGAATTTCCTCTGACAGTTCTTACTACTTTCTAGAACATTTTAATATTTACCTGAAAGTTATCAGATATCGTTCTATCATTCTTATCCGTTCTTTCTTACTTTTTCCTATCAACTATTTCTTTTACTCTCTTATTTCTCTGCCTTTTGTCTTTCAGTCTCATAATTCATTCCTCCAGAATTACGTGATTTGGCTTCTAGTAAATCTAGACATGCCCTCTTCTTTGCTTCAACTTCCATACGTACCTCACCATATCACCACAACGTTTCATTTTTCTTTTCACTTACATCACATACTTCGGTGGCTACATCCTCCAAACTTTTCTTAATATTATCCCTCACAGTCTTCCAGTCTAAATAATTCATGCTGAATTCATTCAAACGCATAATATTTTCCCTCAGTCTATATTGATACTTCTCTTTCATACCTTCATCATACAACTTTTTTATTTTTATACGCTTTAACGCAATAGTGGACACAAATACGCCAATAACGCCTAAATAGACCATTAACTCGACATAATACCAAGTAATACGTCCCAAATTTGCGCCCCCGGATGAACCCTTGTATCTAACTCTGTGCTCCTCATTCTTCCATCCACAATTATGAAACCTATCATGCTTCTATCATCACCTCTTTCCCATGTATAATTG